GTCATTTTTTTTGGACCATCGCACACGGGGGCATGCCCCTACTCTTTTTCGAAAAGTGTGGTGGGTTCTTTAGCGTGGCGTGCGGCCCCAAACATCCTTTTACTTGGACCTCCATTTAACGTCCTATCCGAGCGAGTGAAGTGAGATAGGTCGTATAAGGTGCCTTTCCCAGTGGCACAAAATCGGTGGCATGACAGGATTCTAATTTTGGTGGCGTATTGGACCCTCTCTCTGCCACCCTAGAATCTGCTTGGAGATTAGCAGGATTCGACCCGGGACAACTTGGTTCTGAGCCGAACACTCTGCCGTTACGCCACACCACCCCGCAAATAGTCCCTACCTATACTATCTCTCAATCTTTCCTGCATGCACCATCCATATGCACATGTGTTTTCCCATCCCAGACAGCGGCTATAGCCCGACAGCGTTCAAGTGTAACTCAAGCCGTTATTTGCTGTTACTAGAATGTGGTCGTGTTTCTTGTTTAAGCACCCGTGGCCAGAGGATCCTTGCAGTGCAGCGTCCCTGTAGACACACCGACCAAAGTGTCACCAAACAGCAACTCAAGCTGCCACTCAGACATGTGTTTTCGTGGCTTTGCGGGACAATGTGCGCTGCTTGTTGCGGTTCCATCCCAGGTTTTCGCGTAACCAAACACAGGGACGGAAGGGGACATAGCGATCTATTGTCAGTCGCTAAAAATGCCACCCAGCGTTGTGTTTGGTGCTAGCGAACCTTAAGTAGTGGGTCTGTATAAACAAGCAAGGCTTTATATACACGTCCCCCATCTCAAGCAAGATGTAGTGATGGCCCCAAGCCCAAGCCTGGTAGCCCGGAATCCAGGCTATCAATCCCTAAACCTAAGCTTGAAGGCCCCCAAAAATTGAAGACACTAAAAGATCACTAAAACCTATGGCTATGCCAAGTGGGCCTAACACCAAGCCATGTAGCCCCAAACCCAAGTCTGATGGGCCCGAACCCAAGCCTGATTTATATTATAATATGGCCCAGCCCAAAAGGTTCAAACCCATGCCAAGTGGTCCCAGACCAACGTCTGATAACCCCAAAGCGAGCCCAAACTCATTGTCAAACATCTACAAACATTCAAGTAACACATCCTGTAACATTTTGCTTGTGTCTGGAAATGTGAAGCATTTTCCTTTAATATGTCAATTGTCATCGGATGGAAGATTTCCAACTGGCACAATTGTGCTTGGTGCAAGTTTCAAGTCCACTGGTCTAGCGCCAGGGTCTAGTTCCGTGCCCTGAAAAAAAAGTTGGCGGAGTTTGCCAACATTTCGCCTGTCTGCATTGTTTGGCAGTCTTCCTGCAGGCCATGAGGCCACAAGTGTTTTGGCGGAATGTCTGGTAAACTAACGTTTTGTCGTATGCCACTCTGATCCTGGAGACACTGCAAATCCAGTTATTTTCTCAGAGACCTGATTTTGGTTAATCTTTTTCGTTTGGCTAATCCTTTTCAATCCTCAATAAATCCTATCTGATCCTGGACAATTGATGTCTGCGATTACCTGATTGATTGTAAACGCTATACATTTGTACACTTGGATGAAATTTTAGTATCACATTCTAGAAGAATTAGGGGGTGCCTATTTAAGTGCGGTTGTCCTTATCAATTCCTTTATCATCTATTTTGAGAAGCGGTAAAATGAGCCCTTTCAAAAGACAACGTGATCAGATCCAATCTAAACTCATCTGTACTGCAGATAAGTTTAGATGGGGTTAATATTTATTATGCAAGAACAAAGACAAACAATTGTAGCACACAAACGGTATGGTTTAACCTGTATCAAGTTTAAATCATCAACTACATGTACTACTTATTGTTTTTCATATGCATCTCCAAAACTGATGCTGTTTTTGAGCCAGGTATTATGCAAGTATTCTAATGTTATTCTTTATGTGGTCATATTATGACAATAGACCCTTGTAAATAAACATCTTGCCATCCTATTTCATAAGTTGTGAACACTAAACAGAGCACCCACAGTATACGTAGTGTGCTTATAGTAAAGAACAGTATATACAGAGCTTCCATCTATGCTATTGAAGCCAGGTAGTCCTTGACTTCACTGGGACTGAGTCGACGGAACCCAGACTCGTTACACAAGCCGATTTCTATGTTGTCCTCCGTCATCTGCCCTTCAAAACTCTCCTGAAAAAGTCAAAAATGTCAAAATTCATCACTCAAAATTCTATAGCCACAGTCTTGAGTCTTGAATGGTTGTTGGCAGTTTTACCTAACTCTGCTAACATCATTGCCTAACTCAGCTACCCAATTTCCCATAGTGCTAAAGATATCGTTCATAGCCTAACTATACCAACAAACACTGTGTACTGTGTAACATGACTGTAAATTCATCTATTTTCATTGGTATTTCAATTTAAGGGTTGGAGGGGAAAGGAAGTTTTTGCAGTGTTCTAAGTTTGTATTCGAAACAGTTCTGTAGTACAGAAGTAATACAATAGAAATGGTATGTTGAATTTGCGCTAGAGATGACACAAATAACGCATGCACACACACACGTCACTCAATAACATTTGACTTCCCTTACCTTCAGTGTTAGAATAGCTGTGTGCACGGCATCTTCCAACTCCAGGTCTTCATTGTACCTTCATTGTGTATATAAAAGTGATATTTTAATTACCTTGTTTCAAACATTTTTCAAGAAAATGCAGTTCAAAATGCAGTTCAAAAACAAGTTGCTAGGGCAAACAAACTCACGTTACTTCTTCCTGAGCACAAGAGCTACATTGTGTATGTGCCACCCAAAAATTTTACATCAAAACCAGAAGTTCTCATGCACTACCATAATGTACCCTAATGTACCATAATTTTGAGGTTGAGAGACAATCTGAGCCTTCTCAAGTTATTGTGTTTACAGACAAAAGCTACCGAGAACACAACTTCCTTGGCAAGGATAAAAAAATATCAAGTGTAACACGAGCATTAGCAATTGCATTTGCAAAATCCACTGCATCTACATGTACACTACATAGTTCAACTCTGATTACAAAGATTTTCTGGGCAACGGTATCTTGAAAAGGAAGGCAGTCATGACAGGAGCTATCCGTAAACACAATCTTGTTTGTGAGTAAACATGCTGTCTCCTAAACTGTACATCTGTAAACAGTACGGAATAGCAGTTGAGTATCAGGGCCAATTAGGCTATAGGCTGTGTCATGTACCAGTTTCTACATACATGTATGATGTTTTAATTAATTGTTGAGTATTTGTTTCATCTTTGTCACAATAAGTGCTAGAAAGCACTGGTATCTTCTGAAAAATACATGTACATCTAAATGCTTTCCATAAATAAACACAAGGTCTGAATTTATACACTGCTAAATCAGGACCTATTCTAAATAAAGAACAATTTGATGAGGGATTGACACATACACATGGCAGCTTTGTTTGGATTATCCTGTCATGTAAACATACAAACATGGCACTTGTAAATACTAGTAAATGTTTTGTTGTCAGAACTTGGGGTGTCCCGTGACCAAATGTTTATTGTTGGAACAATGTTTGTTTGTTTGTTGTAAGCAACAAATATTTGCCATGCAATGTAGCTTTTTAAGACAAGAACAGTCAGCACATATTTCTTGCATCTTTGGAACATGAAGCAAAACAAATTAAGTATTTAGACTTGTTGATTTTTTATTTTATTCATTATTGTGAATTTCTCACTGATTCTGTGCATATTCCAGTGTCACTTATAGCCTGTGGGGAGACCATTTTGACCTTCCTGTCAGTCTACAGTTACGCTATTTTCCCCCTCACTTCCTGTGACTCTTCTGTATTAAAATAACTACGTACACACAAGCAAACAAACAGACATTCCACAAACAAAACCTTGACACACAGAGGTAAAAATTTTTTACCTTTTCTCCAGGAATGTCTTGCCGTTGATGAAGTTCTTCCCCATAGCTGTGGCTTTCCAGGCAAAGTAAGCCCCCTGGGGAAAAGGAAAACAAAGGTAGAGGAAAAAAAAACATCCCAAAGAAACTACACTTTCCCAATGTATAAAATTGAATGCATGTCATGTCACTCACTGATGCATATACAAATGGAAAACATGTCAATCTAACCCAATGGAGCATACTAGTATTTTCTTATTCTTAAATTCCCTGTCATATCTACACAGGAAAATAGCTTGCTTGACAAACTTACAAGCTCAAAAAGACATTTTCAGCCAGAACATTTTGAACAGGCCCCAAACTAGAATGAAATGGCATGGATGGAGGACTTATGTGAGCACTTACAGAAGGATCACACTGGAACAGGTAAGGTCTGTCCTCATCCCAGCCTGCCACCAACAGAGACACTCCAAACGGACGCACACCTCTGGAACAACACAACTGCAATGTTAGTAAGACTTTCCTACAGAGAGTTAACTTTATATTTATCTATTTATTCATCAGGTTGAAAATACAGACAACCTGCAGTGTCTGATGATTAGCGTTGTCACCATCCATGAAATGCTAAATAAAGAATGCAATCAGTTTCTTAACTGTTTGCAATTTGATACATACTTCATCTAGTCTATTTTTCATGCAGTATGACAAAAAAAAATTTGGAGCCCTGAAATACAGTAAATCACTTTATGTTCACGGTAGCAAGATTTCACAGTATGAGAAAAATCAAGGTGTTCACAGAACTATATGTTCATGATGGCAGCAGGTGCAGAAAAAAGAAAGAGGGTGATTTTTTTTGGTTAAGGATAATAATAAGTTTGCGGTAGAAAAGTGACCGTGAAAAGCGTGAACATAAAAGTGACCGTGAAAAAATTGTGAAATGTGAAGAATTTCAATAGTATCTGCTATGTACCCAGACTGTGTGTACTCCTGCATGACGTAGGCCACCTTCTGTACCAGCTGGGTGGTGGGGATCTGTTCCTGGTACGTCAGGAAGTAGTTCTGTGCAATCCTCCGGGCATGGCGAACCAACAACCTGGGCAAGAATGCAAAAATATGGTCATAGCTACAGCTTTGGTACATATGTTAAACTTAAAGCCTTGTGAAGAACAGTGAGAACAAAATCCTGCCAACCCCTGCTCAAGAACGCCCCCTAGCATTGTTGGGCATAACTGCATACTGTGACATGTACTGTAAACCACAGTATTACTGTGACACTGACTTACATGACAAAGAGAACTGAATGAAGAAGTCACTGCGAAAAATGTGACTAATAGTAATATCCTTTGAACATACACAAAAATGTTTAAAATCTTTTCTCTTTACCTTGCAGGTACAATACAATTTGAATAGCCAGTTATACTCATAAATTTCTACAAAACCATAACCATTTTGCAGCGCACTCAGGGCTACGAAAGGCAAAAAAAAACTCAGGCTGGCTAGCTAGAACACTGAGTCACTACGAAAGATAAAAGCACCATGAACATTACGAGATTACCAGTACGCGCCCCACACACCTGTAGTCAGGGCCCATCCCACTGTACACCATGCCGATGTTCTTGGTGATCATCTCCACTTTGTGAACGCTCTGCTCATCATACAGCACAGACTTCTGTTTCTTCTCTGTGGCCAGGACTACTCCATTGGAGGCTGTAGCACATGTACACAAGTGATTCAACTTTAAAGGCATCCAATGCAATTTCAGGGCAGTCAATTTTATGGTCATTCCTTTGAATGATGTACATAAAAACTTCTGCCGATGTGCCCATACCATTCTGATATGTATGATATATGAGAGTTTAGGTATTTTCAAGGTTAAAGGATTAGTCGGCTGTTGTAGACAAAAAATTGAATAGGAGTTTGGACGTCATCCTGACATGTCTGCACTTACCTTTGATGCTGACAGAGGGCGCTCCTGCTGCAACAGCGGCCAGAGCATACTCAATCTGCACCAGCTTCCCAGAGGGGCTGGAGTGATAGATGTCAGTACAATGTGTACAAACAGCGGGGAAAGTATTGTGTGTACCAAACCAGGAAAAGTGTCCTACCTAGACAAGTGGTCTTATAAAAAGCATGGCAATAAGATACAACAGAGCATGAAAACAGCAGTAAAAGTTCCACCCATCTTACATTAGATTTCTCTATTTCTTAGCATCTTTTCAATTCTGGCCAGCTACACTAAGCTATTCAAATTGTTATATTTTACATGTTATCTCTCTCTATTTGGCCAATTTTTACTATTTCCAGCAACCGAAGCCTGGTAGAGGCTAATTTCCAAATTGCACATGTTATGTTAAACAAAGGTGGGAGGGGGGCGACTTTCTAGCATTGTTTTGCTTCGTTCACACAGTCTATATTTTATGTGACAAACGTCAGGTGGAACAGACGTGTTGCAGGGATTCTTAATCCTATTCTAGAAACATCCTTCATTGTTTCAAGACCATGATAAGAAAAAAGGGCGCGAAATAATGTTCACGTGTGGCACACTCAAGCCTCAAAGCTCAAGCCTGCCCGTGATTTTGCAAATTTTTCGCGAGAAGACACTCAACTTTTACCGCACAAACGTCTCTGAACGTCAACAAAACCCAAACTAAAATGAACCATGTTACTCTTCCCTTTCATATGGTGTCAATTTATGTCATGAAATATGAATTTTGGGTGCAAAAATGCAAAATTATTTACCTGAATGTGGTGAGAGAAAAGCTGTAGCGTTCCGACATTTTGAATGTTTCCCACAACACACCACGCTTTGGACGAAACCATTCAGCCACTAGGTACTAATAAATTTCAATTTAAAGTTTGATAAACATGTAATGCTTAATATTTTTCACATATAGTCAAATATAAGGTATTTGTATACACAATTAAATATTGTATTTTATTGAAACTCGCTATTTTTGTAGCAAACGTAATAAACATAAAATACCAAAATCTCCCCTGTTATTTTGTCAGAAAGTAGTGTTCCAAGATGGCGACCTCCTTGCTGAGAATTTTTCACGCTGCGTTTCAAAATGTGGAATTTAGACTACTGCAGGCGTTTGGCTTGCATCCCCCACCAGGTAAAACGGTTGTGCATAATCTAAGAAACCATATCTTTGATTTTGTAGTATTCCTTTGTTGAAAAATGTCCGAAAAGTAGTAATATTCTTGGGGTAACCGCTGCCCCCCTCCCACAGTGTGTCCAGCCGGATATGTCCAGCCGTGTGTATTTTGCAGGTCGTCTTATATATAGGCTATATTATATAAAGTAGCCCTCACAAAAGTCGTGGATAAGTCCATTTATTTTGCTGCCTTTCGTGACCAATACGAGATGGGGGTTCGGCTGGCTCCCAGATTTGTAGCGAATCGCCATCTTCAAGATCAAGAAGTATATACATGTAACAGTACACAGTTACGTTACCAGCAAAAGTACCTAAGTAACGGGTTCCTCCCTCAGTACTCGATGTTCAGTACTGAAGGTGCCTTCCGAACTGAACTTCCAGTTCGGAAGTTCTGTCAGAACTGGGCGTCCAGATCTGAGGCGACTTCAGAACTGGAAAACTCTGAATCAGTTCTGGAAACCGAGAACTGAACGTTCCTTCCGTACTGGAAAACGCGGAGCGGCTTTGGCGTGAGTATAGCCCGGCTTACAAGCGCTGCCGGGCGGTAGTAAAGCCGGGCAAGCTGCCGGACGGCCGCCGCAACATAAGGCGAACACGGCTGCCGGAGGACAACGAGAATACCTACAGGAAGCGTCTATGGGAGACGAGAGAAACTGCCGGGCGGCTAACAACGAAGAGCGGGCTGTTGAAGATTGGCACATCGACCAGTTATAGACCAATACTAGTTTATACGTTGGTGATGTCAGCAAGGCTACTTCTACTACTGTATTGAGACATATCGTATTCAGTACTGGAACATCCCAGTAGAAATTAGAACGTGAGAACAGGAAGCCCAGTTCGGAAATAATTTGAAAACTCGGCTTCCAGTACTGTAGAGTCACTTTTTACTGGTCAATCCAGTACGGAACCCGTTACTTAGGTACATCGACACTCGGCTTTCCAGTACTGAATGACCTCCGAACTGGGTAACCAGTACTGAATGACCAGTTGAACCAGCCTTCCTGTAGCCGGGACGCAACACAGTACTGGGGTCCGAGTACCGACGGGCGTTCAGGTCTGGAAAACGAGTTCCGAAACAAGATTCAGTTCTAAACTTCCAGTTCTGACGAAGCTTCAGTACTGGAATAACGCCGTTCCGAACTGGAATTCCAGTTTAGAGCTTTCTTCAGAACTGGGCCCCGAGTATCGACGCTATTTTCTCCACGGTTTCCGTACTGGGCGCCCAGTAAGGAACCCGTTACTTTCGTACCTTTGCACGTTACCAGTACAATTTTGACCATTTTGCACCAAGGACACACTAGTATTAGAAGAGGCTTGTTGTTGAAGCTCCTTGATTGCACAAGGTAAATCGTGAAAAATGCCTTTCCCAAGCCAAGGGCACAACATTGGGGCATCAGAGAATCAGGGCATGTTGGGGGATTCGAACCCAGGACCTATTATGTCACATAATCCGTATCATACTATCCACCCAACTGGGCCACCATGTTTACATGTTACATGCTCTGTGAGGCTACCAGAGTAGTAATAGAAACCCTACAGTACTAGAGTAAAACTAGCGTCCCATTGTGGCAAATTTACCGAAAACAACCAGCAAAATATGCCCAAGTCAAGTCACCTCGGCTATCGCCCGTCATGTCATAGCCATATTTTTCTCCACAGCCCCTGCTCTAGCTATCCCAGGCTGCCACCAGCCTGCGCAGGACTCTGGCAGGACAGAACCCTCGGGTCTGAGCAGTCTGTTAGACGGAGTGTTCCTCATGGCAGCCCCCAAGTCACGCAGAAGTCTGGAGAGGAGACACAAGAGGCAGCGTCACCCAGACAAACTCATCAAACCTAAGGTAAGCACGTCGGCAGAATATACTGCGCTTGCGTAAAACTCTGATGTTTCACGGTTTACACTGGATTTTTGGTCCATCAGAATTTAGCCTGTTGCAGAGGATATCTTTTCCTACACAACATTTGGAAACTACAGACGGGATGTTAACCTTATATGCGTGAATACGACCTCATATGAGACATTCTGACGAAGTTCTATATGCATGATACATTACAAGTTTCGCGCTGGCGCAGTACGTTCTGCTGACGTGTTGCTAAGGTAAGTTCTCAGTTGGTTGTATTATTCTAGTGCATACAACACATGTTGAGAATGTGGCATCAGAGATAATAAACATCCTAAACAGCTATCCATTTCTTTTGGAAAATATCAGACAAAGTCCCATAACTGATAACTGTTTTACGCAATTTTGTTTGACATAACATCATGTTGAGCATGTTCCTGCATTTTGAGGGGGTGTAGTCTACTACACATGTACCTCTGATTACCTTATATTCCTCTTATTCATTGCAGGAAAACCTGTTCCCCTGCCCTGAGTGTGGTTCCATGATGCAGGAAGGTTTCCTGTGTATGAACTGCTACCAGCGCATCAAGTACGAAACCGACATCATCCGCCTGAAGATGAAGGAGACAGAGGTCGACGGTCTGGCCTCCATCAAGGAAACCGTTGTGCGGTATGCAGGCGAAACGATTACAGAGTCCGACAAGACGAAAAGGGTCATTGAGATGTCCCGGAAGAAACCTCACTGGTTCACAAAGGACATGTATGAACACTGGAAGACTAGCTGAAAAGTACTGTGCAGTTATGGATGCAAACACCAGGTGGCACTGCTACCTTGTCATGCCCCTAAAGGCAGTATGTTCCTAGTGTAGGACTTATCCCAATATGTAAGTAGATGTAGGGAGAGTACAGTGTTGTGAACTGTTCAAACTTGACTTGACATATAAGAAATTTAACTACAGTCTACAGCAATACTGGCACAGGTACCCATAGTCCTTTGCTCTCAAAGTGGCTCTGTGTGTTCTAATCATCGGTATTATATATCTGTGAAAAGTCAATCATGATCATACAAGAAAACTTTACTTAAGTTTTGTTTTTTGTGTCTATTACTATATGTATTAGATCATAATCATTACAATAATATGTTGGGGGCTGGTTGGGGGTATATTCTAGTGTCATCATACTTCCGTATGTAGTATGTTTGCTTAAAAACCAGTCATACAAGAAAAAAATATTTCAAATTTTTATTTGATATCCTCCAAATTGTAATGACTTGCACAACAAGCAAAATTTCACAACACACATGACGTGTTGAGTTTCTGTCTGGAATGAGCAGCATCAATTTGGACACTGCATCAATGATGGACACTGCGAATAACCCAATGAACGCAAAGATTTTGCACGGCAACTCAAGCTGTGAATGATCTTCCCTCTGCATGGTACAGCACTAACCCTGGGTCCAGACTGACACCATGTGATCCTCAACATCAGTCACCACCACATCTCCACCTGGTGACACAGTAACAGCCTGAGGACCCTTCATACCACTTCCAATGTAACACAGAAATCTGCCCTGACTGTCAAACTTTTTCACACAATGATTTCCTTTGTCGGCCACAATGATGTTTCCCATCCCATCAGCACAAATGCCTCTGGGATTTTTCAGCTGACTTTTATCAGATCCCTTAGTCCCAAACTTGAACTTGAAGTTCCCCTCTCTGTCCAAGACATGGACACAGTGATTTCTGTAGTCAGTGACCAGAATGTTCCCTTCCCCATCCACAGTGACATATCCTGGCCACCAAGGCTCTGGTGACTTATGTCCTGCCCCATATGTCCCTACCTCAGAACCATCTTGGTTAAAGACTCGAAGTTGACCATTCTGCCCATCACACTCTGTAACAATCACCTGTTCTGTTGCCATAGCTACAGTTATGCCACGGGGGAACATACTAGTAATACCGGTAGGCCTTTGTAGCAGATCTATGTTGACCAAACAGCTACCTTCCCTGGAATACTGCACTACATGATCATCACCCACCACCCACTGGTTGTCATTTCTATCTACAGCAACATCATGTGGTTCTAACTCTCCACTAGTTTCCCCAGGCAGAGTTGTTGTGAACTGTCTAATGTAAACACCATTCATTGCAATTGTGCACACCTGGATTCTGCTGTTATACCGATCAGCAATGTAAACCTTATTGTCTTGTGAAACAGCTACTCCTATAGGACAGTTAAATTTCCCCCTACCTGATCCCCTTCCTCCAAATCTGACATTGGCACCTTTAACATACCTTTTAGACTTAACCACTGACAGTTTGACTTGTCCTGTATCTATTGCAGCTGTGGGTTTATCCATAGAATGTTGTCCTGACATGGTTTTTACTGGGTCTTGTTGCTGACTTTCTCTCACAACTGGTTGCTTGATAGTCAGAAGCTTCTTCATGTACTCATTGGTCTCTTGAAGCTTCTGCATTTCTGCCTTATGTTCCAGGAGGATTTTCTCAGCTTTCTCATTTTTCTCTTTCAGCATCTTTACCTCTTTTTTCACCTGCCCCAGCTTGGTCTCAAACTGATCTTTCACCTCTTGTTTGGATTTCTCTCTAGTTGCTCGTACGGCTGACTGTACTTGTCTGTACGGCACGGTGATGTCATCAGTCCCATCTATGTAGGGCCGGTTCTCTTGACCAATCACAGCCAGGTCTCGGTCTTCTCGACCAATCACAGCCAGGTCCAGGCCTCTCAGGCTGGAATGGTCCACGTGTCTGCAGCGGGGTGGCAGGGCCAGCAGGTTGTCGACAGAAGTGGTATGGTCCAGTCCTGTTCATTAGGAATGATGGAGTTAGAATTATTATGTCAGGTACGTTGAGATGTTTGAAACTATTTAAAGATTTTGCTGTTATGTTCTTGGCACTTTTTGTGCTGAAATTGATGAAGTAATTACTAGCAAATGATTGCTGTACCCATCTATTTCTCAACAACAAGACTATAAATTGTACATGAGGTTCTCACCTCGCCCCAGCCTGGCTCGTACTCGCACATAGTCTTCATGCTTCACCTGGAGCCTCACGATCAGCTGGGCGCCCTTGACCTTGTCCTGTAGGTCGTCTGAGATGAGGATGTGTGAGAGTTGTTGAGACAGGGTTCCCTCCCCCACCCTGTAGTGGTTGTGGTAGAACCTGTCCACATCAGTCTGGCGCAGGAACGTCAGGAGGAGGAGGATCGATCCTGGGAAAGAGTCCTTCAACAAAGCTTTGTGCGACAGGAAAATTTCTCGTGTTTTGTTGTAACGCCTGCGGTCTTTTAGTACATCTTCAGTGAATAGTGTTCTCTCCAGTTCCAGCAGCCGTTCTGAGACCCTGGCATCGATGTCCCCAGTCTGTGCTTTTGTAGCAGTTTCTTGCTGCACTGCACCCAAGTATAGATGTACAGGAAGGTCTGCTAGGGGTACGGAACTTCTTGCGGGTGACCTTGGGTTTTCATTTATCTCTGTTGAGAAAGGTACAATTTGCATTCAGTTCAGTAATATCATAAGTAAATAATGAACAGTGGCTGTACGTGTACAAACACACAATATCTACATTTCAGAAAATATAGAAAGTCATAGTTGTCTGACTTGTCAGTCCATCCTCACTTCTACCTTGTCCCGCCAACGACCAGGAAAAGGTCAAGAGACGAGATAGGAAGGTAGTAGTTGTCAGTTGAAAATAATGGAATTGTCTAAATGACATGATCATTTATGAAAGGGAATGAGAGGGAATAATCAGGACTGGATTTAAAAAAAAAACTGAATAATACTTTTCTTTCAGATGTAAAAGTCATACCAGGATATCTATCCTTCAGACTGTCCACTACATGTTGTAGCTCTGCCTCTTGTAGTGCCTCCATCAGCAAATGTATGGTGGCCGCGTTTCCCTTCCGCTTGTGCCATTCCTGCAGTAGCTCCATACAGCGAGACTTGTCATCCCGCCGTTTGTCTTCAATGTTTTCTATGTCTGGTGTCTCAAACCCCAGACACCAAGCCAGGTCCTTCCAGTCTGAGCTCACCTTGTTCTTTACGAGGATAAAATATCTCCTGACACCTGCAAGGCAACATGCAGTATACTATGGGGAAATACATTTTGTAAATGAAATACATGTGCAATTTTAAAGATGTTTCGAGCAAAATGTGAGCGTTAATGATAATGTCAAGACTCAGTGTAAGTCATAACAGAAGTTCAGTTAAGTTCACAAGTTTCTGATCGGTGTAGATCTTTGTGTATATCTTCATAAAATGTATTTTTAAGTTGGTATAACTTCAGCATTATTAGGCTGCCAAACCAGCAGCCCTGACTATGGAGACAACATAAAGTTACATGATAAACATTGAACTTGATGTGTTAAGTAAAGTATTCTGTATGATTCTGTGATCTCACCTTGTGTAGACATGTTGCAAACTAACACTTTGCTGTCCACTCAGTTTCAAAACTCTCACATCAATATGCCTGAAAAAATTACATTAGAAATGTTTAATGGCAAGCAAAGCATACTATTGACAGCAAAATCTGTACAAATTTTTAAACACAAAGAGAGTCCAAAGTCCAAACATAACACTGTATATACACCTGTTATACTGCACATTACCAGGAAGTAAAACAAAATGTTGATTTTATAAAAGTTACAGAAGAAAAGTCAAGCTTACCAACCTGATAAAACTATTCACGATCACTGACTTGACAATCATGTATTGAAATATTTTTGGTTCTCTGATAGCCTAACATGATCTAACATCAGCTGGTAAAACAGCTTACCTTTCCTCAAGACAAAGAACCGTTTTCTTGAGGACCCTGGGTCCTGCCATAAACATTAGTACTCCCCACTGTGGCTTTTCCAGAAGCTTGAATAGTGAATTGACCCCATAAACTCAGAAACATTGACTGTCCAGCAACCAGAAACAATGGCAGGGACCATGGAGGTAGAATGTAGTTGTTTACTGAATGACTCTTGTTGGTGATTCTGGCAAAAGCATTTTCATCATAATGAAATTTAACCTGGTATTTTCAGCAAAAACATGCATTAATCAACATTCTTCTGTTTTTAACAATGACCTTAAATCAAACACCGCCCCGCCCCCCCTTACCGAATTCCTGTGTTTGATCCGTTACACCTGAATGCACCTGTAACACACTCCTTATAAGGCCAGACGGTCAAAGTTCACAGGTTGGCTTTGTCACTGTTGTGGTCTAACCGTGGTTGTCGAATTGGTGTAATTGAGTTATTTTGACTCAATAGGCCTGCTGGCTACATTAATACAGGTGTATATTTTGTAGTTTTTTCCCCTGATTTGTCATTTGTGTCAATGTATAGTCCAGTGGGAATGAACAGTTTATACAGACTGTGTTCAGGTCAGTTTTGGGGTAGTCTCCATCAGACTCCTTTTGCAGGCTGAATAAATCGTAGAAATAGGTCTAAAAAGGCTAGTAAACTTCTCTGGCCAATTAATACCCTTTTTAGACTGATTTCTACAATTTATTCAGCCTGCAAAAGGAGTCTGGTTGAGACTAGTTTTGGGGGTGCATTCTGGTGTTTTTTTAATAGTCGTGGTAGTGCTTTAATTTCAGAGTGACTCTGTATGTTCTTATCACTAGTATTATGTCTGTGAAAAGTGAATAATATGAGAAATCTACTGTACATAGAAGCAGCAAGCTCCACTCTACGATATTTCTAAGAGAAAACAAATTTTCTAAAAAAATATTTTAGAACTAGAATTCCGAGATCTCATACCTCCATGAAATATGATCTTGATATGTAAATGTAAATTTCTTCTTTAATTGTTCAAATGACCTCTGCATTAACATGATATATGCATCGTGATGTATGTTAACTTTTGATTAACTTACAGATGTCCCAAGTATGACATTCTCATCATTCACCATTACGAAATCATAGAATTTTCACATTAATTATGCAAATTAGGTCATCATTTGCATAATTAGTATCTGTTGAAGTTCCGCCTGCCATAGGTTACATAGTATAATGTAAAACACTGTAATAGAATTTCCTCATTAATTATGCAAGTAAAGTCCTCATTTGCATAATTTACATTTAATTATGTGCATCTCTCTCTCAGCTACCTACACACCAAAAATAATGAAAATATGTTGTTCCTGTCTGGACTTATTGGCTTTTAAACATTTCGACAGAAAGTGCCCTGCAGTTCCAGAACAAGCCGCTAGGGGGCCCAAACTCATATGACTTCTTTCCAAGCACGAGAGCTACCTTCCATCAAAATTTCATGACCCTAGCATGTCCAGATCGCGAGATATCAAAACCGGAAATTACAGAAGTACCAAGGGAAGCCACTAGGGGGACCAAAATCTCATCATTTCCAGTTTTCGTCACACCCTACCAACACACCAAGTATGAAACCAATCCATCCAGGCGTTCTTGAGTTATCTTGTTGACCAACAGACAGACGGAAGGACGGAAGGACGGACGGACGGACAGATAAACGCAACTGAAAATATAACCTCCATGACACATTTCATGGAGGTAAAAATGAAACATTAGAGTACAGACGCAGTCTTATTTTCCAAGTTAGCTTTTATTGAGGTTCCCCCTCCAATAATCCATCCATATTATTTGTGCTCTCAGCAGGACATTATTTACAGGAGTTATATGTACAAAATAGTTAATAAACATAACACCGGTTAGTCATACTAGGTCAGGAGACAAGCATCAATCAAAGCAAAGCATGATCTGCAGAAAAATGTACCAACACCTGTTTTTCTAGCACACCAACATTGACTCACAGCTTTTGTATATTCATATTGTAAGGCTTTAGAAGTATCAGACACTATTAAGGTGCTGTAACATAAATTAACATCAATGTGCTAGCAAAGTTTACTAGTAGTACATTTGTGCTACATTGTTCCTGTCGTAATAGTAGTGCTCTCCAAGCAGAGGTTTGGGCCTTGACCTATTTTTTATTTGTTTCAGTCCCTTTTTATTGGTATCTTTTATGTTTGGGTAAATGGTAACTGTCTGGCATTTTATTAGTTTTCTTTGATTACATGTAAACAAACAAACTAAATAACTGCCTGGCAAATGGGCACTGCCTGGCCAATTTCATTGTCTTTGCGGCCACCAAAAGATCTGCTCGTAGATTACAATACCGTAGTACAGCATTGGTAGTATCTGTGCACTTACAGTTACACATTGTTGTGCTGGAACAAATCTACCCCTGAAATATAGTGTTGTTACAAAAAATAGCTTTATGTACCAAGTTATAAACAGAAGAACCATTTAGAATGGCTATTCATGTATATATAGATTTAATTACAATTTCTCCTAGCTCCCAAAGCAAAAAAGATAACATGATGGTAACAGAGTCACCCAGAAAGTTAGTGGAAGTAAATCCAGATGTTAGAATTAGTTCTCAGAACTTTAAAGGAAAAGGGAGATGAAAGAAAGATGGCGACCAGCAACCACGTTTAGTAGCTAGAAAAATAGAATGTAATGTATACATATTTATACACAACTATTTACAATGTTATACAAGGAACGAAAGGGCTTTTTTAATTACTCAACTTTTGATTAAGCCAATCAGATTCCAAAAGAAAACAGTCCAGGTGACCAATGAGCATGCCGTACGGCTGACCAATCAGATTAGTCAAGAGCATCTATTATTTAAGCCAATCAGATGACAGAGAAATCAGATCGGTAGCTGTATGATAGACCAATCAGATTGGCGCTAATGTCTGTGATATATGTATTTTAGCAGGAATAGTTTCCATTTGGAAGTGTTTATCTTATATCAATATGTTTTTATTTGTTTAAAGACATTTTCAGTTTTGCAAATCCCAAAATAAATTTCCTTGATTCCCTGGGTTCATTTATTACGTTGTGCGTCACTTTTACTTCTGCATTTTACATAGCAATATCCATACCACTTTACAATATCCATGCTACAATCGTCTATGTATGACAAGTTTTGAAAGAGCATTGAGGGCTATACAAATACACGAATAAGCATATCTTATAACTTCTTTATAACCCCTTTTGCCAATGGCCTTTTTTTATTTGATCTAAAAGTTAGATATGCCCTAATTCAAGTAAAATTTCACTATTTTATTAGTTCAAATATTATCCCATTTGTTGCTATAAACTCTTAAAATCTGCTTAATTGCCAAAAAGTTCAAGTATACTGTATCAATGTATTCGATATTTTTTTCCAGCACTGCAGAGCAAAAAATAATGATTCATTTAATATCAAACCCACCCTTTGGAAGATTAGTTAGTAGCTACAAGCACAGTTAGAAATGGTGACTACTGTAGATATGCTGACTCAGAGACAGTTATATACAAGTTCTGTTTTTCCAAACTAAAGCATTTATGTCCATATCAGAGATCTAGTATTGGTATGTAATAAACAAATTGCACAAAATCAGATTACATTACAAGTACCCACATGCTGACATAGGAAAATTATCACTGGAAAACATCACCAAATCGCACTGAAACAAGTTTCCAATTTCAAGACTTGAACAAGTTTAAAATTTGTAAAATACTGTGTATCATTATGTTGTTTATGATATTTTCCTGATGTATCATATCTACGTACATACAAACTATAGTTAACATGTAGAACGCAAGCTTTTGTACATTTGAAGTATATATCTGCTATACGTCTGTTTCTTCGATATATCTTGTTTTTGGTCTGAGGGGTTCTTTTTCGTCGTCCTCTGAGTCTATGGTAATGGCGGTGAACTGGCGCTTCTTCAGCTCGTTTATTCTTTCTTCTGCGCACGACGCGGTGATGCGAGCCTCGCCATCGTGATCCCAACAGTCCTCGATGATCTCTGACATTCGGCACAGTCCCTGGAAGGGTCAAGGTCATTAGATCAAAGGACAAAGTGTCAAGATGAAAGGACAAAGCAATAAGGTCATTTGGTCCAAAATATCAAGATAGGACACTCGATAGGAAGGTCATTAGGTCAAAGGACAAGGTATCAATATGAAAGGACAAAGCAATAAGGTCATTTGGTCAAAGGACAAAATTTCAAGATACTAGTAGTAAGGTCATTAGGTCAAAGTACAAACTATCAAGATGAAAGGATGTGTGGACAAAGCAGTAAGGTCAAATATTACAGATAGAAAGAAGCAGTTTCTAGTGGCAAAAACTTACTCGTCAACAGTTAACTACAGTTTGTTATGTTAGGCCACAGCAAGTAAATTTTATGGATGACATCCTCCGCAGACTCCAAATCTAATGCGAGCAGGCGAAAAAAAACAAGGCGGTCCGAAAAATGCAAGGTTCCCACATTTTCAATTTTTTTACTCTATCATTGTACAAATGGTTTTGATTCAGTAGGAACATCACATATACACAGCCAGTATCACATGTCACTGCATCAAAGTAAGAAATAAAACATTAGATCAGAGTCTTGTCTTGTCTCCTCTATTCATAGTTATCTGCCATCCGCCTTCCGGCATGGCAGCAGACATCTTTGCCCATTTTCGTCATGTTGCCCACTGTCAGAAGGCAACGAAACTTCTTGTTTGTTTTTTTCAAAATCTGCCGAAAATTAATGCGCGCTGATGTCATCCATAAAAATTACTTGCTGTGGCCTTAGAGTCAAACTTGAGGAATTTAATTTCAAAGTAACTTTAGTTTAGTAGAATCTCAACTCACCTGATGCGCCAACCAACGGGATGGGATGTCTGGTCTCTCTCGTTCCCGGATCACCACGTCCTTCATGGTGTCGATCCCAGGGTGGTCACCGCTCAGCTTGTCAGCAAACGCTGGTTGGTAGGGGCCCACATCTGGAAATATACCGTACTAGGTTATACAACAGCTCTCCTATTATGTTTTAAACACTCCATCCATGAAATAAATTCAATTACAGTTTGGAAGGAGATAAGACTTTGGCGATCTCTAGTGATCTTATACAATACAGTTTAACAAAGTGAAACTTTCATTTATACTTTCCATGTCAATGTTCGAAAACTGATTTTACAATGTTTCATCACTCAGGTGTCAGATCATGCAGCTAGAAAAGGTCAATCAGTTTGAAAAATGTATGTCCCATGCAGGGATCCACAAAAAAGGCTATGGTCGGCAGTTTTTTCTAGGGTTGGTTGGGAAACAGGAAACACAACATTTTTTTGCCTTGGCCTTGATGTGGCCTCATAAAAAAGGTTTTATACTGACCTCCAGTGACCTCACACCTGGCCAGCATCTCCCACAGGACCAGTCCCAGGGCGTACACGTCGATCTGTTTGAAGGACTCCAGGTTCACCAGGTTCACACGTGACTCCAGCGCCTCCGGAGCCATGTACCTGGGCGTACCCACCTGTCCACGGGGATTCTACAGTTAATTACAGTTGTACTTCTTCTTTGAAGACATCCAATGCAGTTTTAACGCGGCAAAACAAACTAAAATATTCTGAATGAATCAATATGTCTGATATTGACATTTACTGCCATTTCTCAGCATATATTTGTAATTATTTCATGCGACTGAAAATCTAATTTTACTGCTTTGAAATTGCCTTGTGTACTCTTCATCTCAGTTCTAGAGCAAGTACATAATGTCTTTGACTATTGAGATACATATCTAGATATAGGTTGGTCAATATTTCGTAATTGTACAAAAAGGCTTCCACCAAAACCCTTGTAGAGTCTAAGAAATATACTTTTCGTAACATTCTACAAGTAAACGCTTCCTTACGGAGCCCACACTCTGAACTGAACTGACCTGGCCGCTGTTAGCGTACTCCTCCACCCGTATGGTCGGGTCCAGGTTGAGGGCCAGCCCGAAGTCAGCCAGGCAGCAGGTCCCGTCACTCTTCACCAGCACGTTCGAGCTCTTCACGTCCCTGGGCGGAAAAACAAACCCAAAACAGCGGTTAGCAAACAGTTCGTAGTGACTTTCGGCGGCACTAATTTCCGTCTGGTCTTTTTTTATACGTCTTGAATGTTCTTGTCCCTCAAAAAAGTTATGATACGCTCGTATAAGGCATAGACCATCTTACTTTGTATAAACACTACTGGATTGTACGATGGTAGTAAACACATAAAAGTCAAGTACGGTGATTACGAGATTACCAGATTTAACTCTTCTTTACTACCATTGTGAAGTCCGGTACTGTTTACAAAGCAAACATTGTCCGACTTTACTGGCATTTTACTACCATTGGTGAATCCGACTTTACGTGCAGTGTATGAGTGCATCTCACCTGTGAGCGATCGGCATCTTGGCGGCTCCGTCCGTGGCCCTGTCTGCGTGCAGGTAGGCCAGCCCTGCCACCGTGGTCTGACTCATCACACACAGCTGCTCCCACGTCAGCACATGGCGGCCGAGGTACGCCCTCAGACAGCCGTTACTATGGTAACTGGTGATGAGCCAGTACTGCCGATCGATGCCGCTCCCCCGCTCCTCGGCCGTCAGAAAGTCTAAGATGTTGGGATGCTTCAGAGCAGGGTCTGAGAAGACGTCTTTCTCCCGCTGCCAAGACTGCTTCTCGTCGTAGCGGAAGATCTTGACGGCGACGGTGACGAACCTGTCCTCGCTTTCCTGGAAGAGTTTTCCCTTCCAGACCTCTGCGAAGCGGCCCTTCCCGACAGAAGTGTCCAGTTTGATGGGCAGGTGCTCCTCATTGTGGTTCAGTGTGTTCTCCAGGCTCGGGTCGGCGGCCATCTCCGAGTCGAAGTCGTCCAGCTTTATTTGGTAGTTTCCGTTGCCGTCCTCGGAGCCGAAGATTGACGAAGGCGGGTTCTTCGGGTGTCTCCGGCGGTAGAGCACGTACGCGGCGAAGATGAGGAGGACCAGGACCAGTACGGCAGGCAGGATGGTGACGATGCCGATCAGCATACTGGTGTTGTCTGGTCCGTAGGCTCTGTCAGCTGGGAGGGAACATGGAAAATTGCATTTTAGAACAATCTGCTCGAATAAAAGCTCAACTGTGTTGGTAGTATCCATAGTTGTAAAGTCCAACACAAGAAAGGAACTCACCATAAATTCTAGTCGATCTCGTCATCACACATCTAACGCAACGAAGGTTGACGAGATCGACCGAAAATTCATGGTGAGTTCCTTTGTTCTGCCGACCAACAGAACAATCTGCCGACCAGCTTGCATGACGTGACTCTGTGTTCACTCTCATACCATTCATTTGTACAGTAACAGAGAACTGCAATGTAATGCGGACGACGCATCAGGTTGCGCAAATATCGCAAGATGGCGTAGTGGGAACAAGTACATAGTCAGTAGGTCTATTGTAAATACATGGTTGTTCGCGCAGTGGGTGGCCAGTGTTGCGGAAGGTGTCAACAGGTATGTTAAATGTTACTCATTCTTTAGACATTGAATCCTTAAAACTCAAAGTTGTACGCCGAGTAGAGGCAACCAGAGCTCTAAATAATAAATGTATAAAGTAGGAACATATAGTCAAATAAAGGACCCATAATGGTTTACAGATATGGCACTCCAACAAGTTTCCGCGAGCTGTGAACGCATTGGACCAAAGCCCTTCGTCACTCATTTGTACTTCACATTGTTTTCCATTGTATGTTTTTCTTCTCCACTCCAAGACGACAGCGCTTTTCTTAATCACGAGACTTTTGCAGATAGGAGGGAACCTCCGGCTCCAAACCCTCTTGACTTGGTGCCCCAAAGTCTGACAGAAGGTTCTGTTCTTCTTGACGTTTGACTTCAGCTGGAACTTCAAGTTTACGTTCCAGTAACCACATCCTCTTGCCGCTGATACGTGCAGGAGATGAACATGTGATAACGGGGCTTCGCTTCCGCTTACACCAAGTGTTATCGCACGGTTACACTTCCCAGAAGTCCTGGGGGAAAATCTCAACATAAACAGGTTTTCTGGAACGGACTGCAAAGCTGAAAGAAATCAATGACAGGAAGGAAAGATTTAGGCGACGTGTCGTCGTGGAATTTTGTTTTCCTCTTCACAAACAGGGTAGTGTTTGTTGTTTGTTTGTTTGTTTGTTTGTTTGTTTGTTTGTTTGTTTGTTGAATATTACCAATCCCTGTGTGAGAAAAAAATGCCAACTTGGAGTTGAACAAATTAAAAATATGTACGGAAAAAATGTATAACTGTATGGGACTGTATATACATGTATTTGGGAAGATATCTAGATGTAAAGTACATGGACAGATGTCGGTCAGTTGCCGAATAGCATGGGTGCCAGGCAGTTGCCAGGGCGGGATCTCAGCTCCAGGGCCAACAAGACCCCATGGAAATTTTATCATGTTAGACCCTGAGCAACGCCGAACGCTCAATCTGTGTGCGTGGGACCCACCAATGAAGCAACAGGGAGCAATTTTTAATGAGGACGTGTGAGGAAGTTGAACTCTTAGTCAGCATAAAAGTTGGACGCCCCCCAAGAAGGGAAATGAGGAGTTGACCCAATATCGTGAAAGCTGACTTTTCCTTGAAGTTAGTTAGTACTTGTCAACGTGTGGTACAGGAAGGGCGTAGATGGGTCAACTATTACTCAGACTGGGGCCCGTATGTCTTGGTTGTGTTATGAGATCCTTATGAGAGTCTTTTTATTCATGGGATTTTATTCTTTCATTAATGAGTTGTCCTGATGTACAGATGGAGCACCTTTCTCTGAACTTTCTCCCTCAGTAAGACTCTACCGTATATAACCCGACATGCCCACGGGATCCGGTGTCCCAGATGTCGCGCCGCCCCCTCCCTCCTCCGCCTGGCACGCGTCCAGAGGCCCACACGTCACGCCCACCTTCTCACCAGTTCCTGTGCCGCTTCCCACGGGACCAATTTTTCCCTCTGAGTCAGGAAGACGTTGGCGAGAGAAGCCCAAAGTTCACGTGGCAGGGAAGGCTTATAAGCCGATACTGTATTTCATAATTTCCTTGGAACAATCTACGACAAACATTTCCGTCACAGGCCAGCTGAATTTTGTATGCCTGTGGCTAAGCATAATGAAAACTATAAGTGTAATCAAAACACACAGTATATAATAGTCAGAACTCCCTATATACAACAAGAAATATGTTTTTAAAGCTGTGCTGTCAGAAGAACCCAGCTGTGCTATCAGAGAAGCCTGACTGTGCTGTCAAAAGTCCGACTGTGCTGTCAGAGAAGCCCGGCGGTGATGCCAGAGATGCCCGGCTTTGCTGTCAGAGAAGCCCGGCGGTGCTGTCAGGGAAGCCCGGCGGTGCTGTCAGAGAAACTGGCTGTCCTGTCAGAGAAGTCCGACTGTGCTGTCAGAGAAGCCTGGCTGTGCTGTCAGAGAAGCCCAACTGTGCTGTCAGAGAAGTCCGGTTGTGCTGTCAGAGAAGCCCGGCTGTGCTGTCAGAGAAGCCCGGCTGTGCTGTCAGAGAAGCCCGGTTGTGCTGTCAGAGAAGCCCGGTTGTGCTGTCAGAGAAGCCCGGTTGTGCTGTCAGAGAAGTCCGACTGTGCTGTCAGAGAAGCCCGGTTGTGCTGTCAGAGAAGCCCGGCTGTTCTGTCAGAGAAACCGGCTGTCAGAAAATGTTACGATCCCCCCAACATCTGCCTGAAGGCTACACTTGGTCGTCTGCCCACACACTTGCCCCGTACAAACCAGACTTGTCACGTGCCATCACTTGTGCATCAGCAGACCCACGTCTGGGAAAGCTGGTTCCTTGTTCCAGGGTGGGACAAGGTTAGACCAGCGCCCTATCCCGGGAGCACGTACGGTCACCCACGTCCGAATGCCATTTCCTCTCATCTCCGGTTATTGTAGACAGAACATCGACATCGTATGTCAGACACTTTCCTTTTACGTACATGATGTTCAACTTCTGTTCACCCATATATCAATGGCACATGTGGTGCTATCACCATGCAGACCTCCCCTCTATGCACTGTGGTAGAGACTATTGTTATCTCTAGGGTAGACGGTGTTTACCCAAACGTCAGATAAAACGACTTTATTATAAAAACCTGGCATTTTGCTAATCTCCAAGAAGATTCTCGGGGACAAGGGAAGAATATATAGGCTGCCTGCAAACATCAGCAAATGGTAACTCGGTGGCGAATTTGATCGTTCCCTGCCATGGAATGAATCTGCTTGGAGAGTAGAGTTTTGTGGTTCTTTGCAGGGACTAGCCTGCCTGCCACACGTGCTGCCATGCACCACACTGCTGTGATTTTTACCCCCACTTGAGATAGTTTGCAGTTGAAGACGTACAGCTACTTTGGACAGGTTTCAATCCGCGTGACTTCCTATTTTGTCTAGGGCTGGAGACAAGACAGTCATCTTTGGCCTTTGATGGTGATTCACTCATTCGATCTTAAAGTAGAAACAGGTCCCAAGATTTAATCCCCAAGCAGTTTTCTGGGGGGGGGCACTATAGTTGGCTAGCCCGTAAAGCCCCTGTCACTACCAAACTCTCTCAAACCATTGTTGTATGTAGGTCGGGAGCAAGGTCGGATCGGCCGGCTGGTGTTTGGGTAGGTCGGCTACTGTTCGGCTGCGCCAACCGAATGTCTCAACATGTTTCGGGTGTGGACGGAAGGTAATCGGCCATGGTTGGCTGGTGGTTGGCTGGTGTTCGGGTGTAGGTCAGCAGTGTTCGGGGGGTAAAACTTGAATTAAATTTAACGCAAATTCTTTTCGATTAGTGCAGAAAGGTAGTCATGGCCTAAATCTGCACAGAATGCTCACGAACTTCAGCCGACTGATCAGAAATTTATGTATTATTATAGTATAATCATATCTTCCGGATCAAGTCTCCTATTTCGGCGAATACTTCAACAATCTGTGCCCTTAGACTACTGATGGAAGTGTTTCACACAACAGGATTCTTCTATTCTTACGTCAGTTCATATTTGTTTTCTTAAGTTCGCCGCTTTAGTAAACACTGAGGTCGCAAGGTCACACCCTGTACACGCTATGTTGTTGTGCCACCAACAGCTTGTTTTGGACTTGAAGAGAGTCGCCGAAGTGTCTGAGATGTCGACAAGACAAGGACAGGTTTAAGACACACCTGTTGCACGGAACGTACACCTGTGGGAACTGTGGGGAGGAATGTTAGGTCGCCGTTGTGTCGTGTCGGTCAGCTAAGGACATCTGACCAGTCTTTGGGCAGTTGTTTCTTGGAGCTACCCTGGGAGCCAGATAGGATTATCGGGCCCCAGTCTGCAAACTCTCCGCCGCCACTGGGTTACTTATCATTACCGTGAACAGATAATTCGCCGACTTTTTTTTTCTGCACTTGCCGCCACCGAGAATGTATTGTTCCGCGAACATGACTCTATTTTTCTCAGACCGCGAACTTTTGCTGCCGCGAACATAAATGGTTACAGGAGGCCAGTATTGACTCCCATTCCCCCAAAGAATCTGCTTGTTGGAGATTACGTTTTGTGTCAGACGATTGAGGAAGTCGCCCCATCTGTTCCAGGACTCAGACGACAGACTCTTGCGGCGAGGAGACCCGTCAAGCCGCCCCCGATCTTGTTTAAATGGGAAAAACGAGGTTTGCAGACAAACGTTCGAAGCTGGGGGTGACAGGCCTCCTCTTTTAGACAACACAGGAAGTCCCATCTGTGAGGGATGTGAGCTTCTGCCAATCAAAACTTTGAATTCACCCACCGAGGGTCACCGAGGGACGAACAAGAACGTGTTTTTAACTTTTATAGGATGGTGATTTAATCACGGTCGGGGATTGAAACATCTGTGAGGGATGCGAACCTCTGCCAATTAAAACTTGGATACTTTGCCACGTAGGGACGAACAAGAACATGTCTCTAACTTTTATGATCTTTTATAAGATGGTGATTTAGTTAGAGGCATATACAATGTAATTTTTGGCGGCAAAACTGCATTTTCAAACTCAATTTTTTCTGGTCATCCTTTCAATGTAGTAAGTTATATCAACACCCCACTGTTGTTTTACAAGGCAAAAATGTTACGTCGTATTTAGAAATCAAGGGACTTGGCAATATCAGGCAGTTTTCGTCATCCAAGATCCTTTTTGCGTATTGAGAAAGAAGACGGGTAGGCGTCTGGATTAAAAAAAGAATATGTATGTATTTACTAAGAAATTCGTGGATTTTAGATTTTTGGACGTCCTTGTTTCCCAAGCTGCACACAGCTGGTTTTGAACTTTCCTGATACTACGTGACGTCATCACCCTGAGGAGGTAGTATCGCTCCCACTTCATGGCCCGAATCTGTCTGCACGAACCATCTGCTATAGATGTAAGACCTGGCGTGGCGCGAATCTGTCTACACGAACCATCTGCTACATGGATGTAAGACATCGCGCGGGACTGGTTGGTAAATCACTTCTAATTTAAACCATTTTCCACACTGAATACAGAGTCTCGTGATAATAGATACATGTACTTCCTTAAAGCTGCATTATGTAACATTAAGATGATACAAAGTCTATTTTCTTGTCCTTTCTTAAGTTGAATCAACCTTACTATATTGCAAATAAGACACTGACACATATTCGCTGAAAACTGGAAGTAAAATTACATTTTTATATTAAATTATTTCAATTTTTGGCGCAAAAATGTTACATGATGCCCCTTTAAATGGACTGGAGTTCTATGTCTTTTGTAGATATTGGAAGAGTTCCAGTGTGTTTTGGACACATGTCATCACTAACAGTGGAATTCTCTTCATACCAAATTGTAAATTGGAAGTCTGCTCGCGAACAGAAACATCTTGTTAGCCTTTGACCCGAATAGTAGCTATCAATATTACCGAACGGGGGTAGGTTTGGTCGGTATTGTCGAGAAAACAGAAATAGCCCGCATACAGACCTCCTCTCATTGGTTGTCTGGTTAAATTAATAGACTATGTCTGAAGAGATGGAACATGCAGACTTACCACTAGCAGTGGCAGAGCTACCGACGAAGTGGTTGTTGGACTCAGCCCCCGGACGCAGAGTGGGATCGTCTAGTCCGTCCCCAGGCCAGGGGGAGCCCCCCGACCCCACGGGGGGAGACGGAGGGTCTCTCAGGAAGTCCGGCGGGATGTCGCCTCCCGAGACCGGGGCCGAGGCACCGCCCGCTCCGGCATGGGGGAGGATGATCTCTCCGTTACACTCGTCTGTCCCGCACAGACATGTATACATCCCCGGGAACTGCAACAGAAATAACAATCCATGTATTAAAGTACTGTGGGACAAAATCACGTAGCCTACAAAATGTAAGTTCCAGATTCCGGTACGACACGATACTCCCTTCGGCCGGGGGAAGCCACAAGCCCCGATCCCATAGTCGTCTCTCGGGATCTAATTATTTATCTCTCGCACCTCAGGGTCTAATGGAGAGAGTCGATGGTATAATTTCCTTGGGGACAGGTTGGGACTGGAGCCGATGAGCTAGCCTGGGAACAGTCTGGCACCCAGGCTAAAAATCACGTTGAGTTACCCTAGGTCTATTTTACATTTTACATATCTTACATAATATATCTTACATATTTTACATACCTTAGCCCCTTATGTCCTCCAGTGCCTAACCTATCTTACGAGGTAAATTTGTATCTTTCTTTTGAAAATTTCTTTCCAATCCCTCCATTTTTACTTCCCTTCATAAGTTCTCCTTCATTTCGTCCTTTCTTCTCTATTCACTCTATCCTTTTCTCAATTTCATGTGGGTACTTAGTACTACTTACCCTATTATCCGCCCTACAGTCGTCTGGCTGAAGGGTGTTGAAGGCTGACCCCGCCCAGCACCCCGTGTCAACCACATACGTCATCTCTGAGGTCTGGTTGTCCTGCGCAAGGTACATGGTGGCGACGCAGCCGTCGCCATCCCCATCACACGTCTTGACGTAGTCGCACCTGACGTCACAACGTCCCGTGACGTCGTCGCACACCGGCGTGGTTCCCTCGCAGACGCGGCACGAGGTGGCGGCCCGGGCGGGCGACATCAGGGCAAGCGCTGCGGGGACAACATAACAGTAATGTCAGTATCATAACGAATAAAACATAACACTATTTACACACAAAAAAATGTTGGGGACATGGCAGTCAATAGAAGAGGACGTTTAAAACTGGTGGCGTCGGTGTCGTTAGTGGGAAAAATAGACGACGTTTTGAAAACACAAAGCTGTAGAGCTAGATAACAGCTACAAAAAGGACCCGTCCCACAGGCGTCGCCAAAAATATTAAATGCCCGCCGAGTTGCCTTGCTGCCTTTAGGTTCCAAGAAGCTAGAAATCACAGGTGTTAGGGGATACGTTGCAACTTGGACATTCATTCTTGGCATTCATATGAAACCGGTAAATTTCAACGACGACAAATCGGTAAAAGTGATTTTAAACTAGAAAGGCCGAGATTTTCTGGGGAGCAAATTCCTGCGTATTAGTATTTCACCCCATAGTATCTCAGTTCCAAATTGGACCGTGCTCTCTAGTATCAAGTGTTCCAATATCCCCATGCAGTTCCCATTGCCACATGCAGTGCTTCTTTCGGGTCTTTTTTTTTTTGCTGAAAAAGTTGAATCCATTTGACTGACCAAACGACAGAAGGAGGGGGAGGAGAAGAAGAAACACGCGGAAAACAATATATTTCATCCATACCATGGTATGGAGTGAAATATAAGTTTGACAACCATGTCTGGTGAGTCTCATGATCACGTACGTAGTTGACGCGCACCTGTTCCTGTACTCCAGACTTCTAACACGCCGCCATGGCAAACTACAACTGTCATAATCGGAGGGTCACACCGGGGTTTTCCGCAAGCCTTGATCATGACAGTCGTGAAAATGTACAGTAACTAGCATTTGCCTAGCCTACATGTAGGTACCATCCGGATTTCGCTCCGAAAAAAAATCACATTTTGGTACCCAGGCTAGTTTTGCCCCCACGTCCAGGCTAGTATTTGCCCCCAAAGTCTAATTAACTTACTGGATACTAGTCAAGAATGTTTCTTGAAACTATAGGATAGAACATAGGATATGGGGATATTCTTATACACTGTACATGGGTAAGAAATGCGTGAGAAGCACTGGTTGTTTATGACTACTAGTATATAGAAACTTTATTTGCAAAATCATGCCCGAAGGCTAAGTGCTTGTACAATCAAGTATAATACTCATTGCAATACTGTCTGGAAAAAAAAGAAGAAAATATAAGAAAATCCCAACATCCTAAGAACTAAAGAGTTTTAAAACAACAAGCATGTTTCCGTCCGAAGTTTTGAAGACGGTTGGTGATATCCCCCAAAGCCACATACAACAACACATGAGTCATCCGTGATAACATCAGCCCATACACAGGACCCAGCTGGTGCTTCGGCACTAGTTTGAACAACAAACACGGTATTTCGGCTAGTGATCCTTTAAAAGCACTCAGGCGAGCAGAAGAACCACACCACCACACCTGAGACTACAAACATGCTTACTCAAAACTTCAACTTGTGTCATCAACCGTAGGGCGGCACTACTGCGAAAATAGAGGGAGGGGGGGGGGCTACGTGTTTTTATTTAGTACCGTAAAATATAACGATATACTACTAAGCTCAATGTGTACTAGTTTCCACCAGACGTACTACTGAGCAACGCGGGTTCCAAAGCAATAAAATTTATACAAACGGAGAGAAAGTGACCAGGGGAGTTAAGTCACCATTTGGCGTTTCCATTTCTTCGCCGAATTCTACGATCCGTACGTCAGCAATGATGTTTGTGCCAAGCTAAGTGTCCCTCGAAGCACCATGAACATAATTACGTTCCTAACTCTATGTGCTGATACATCTATGTGCTCGAATCTTTCTTTTAAGTTGTAACAACACTTCATATACCAGTCTCATTTGATAAGCAAACATGCGGACTTACATAACGACATACCCGTGAGAACTGCATGCATGTACGGGGGTGGAGGGAGGAATGTCGAGTAAGTCTCTCCCCACGTGTATCAAGGAATCTGGAAGATCTAAAAACTATTGATTTGGACATCTCCCAATGCTTTTCCGCCAGTAGAGATCTGCCAAGTTAGAGCGAGTGGGCGAATTATCGAATATTTGAGTGATTGGGCGAATGCGTGTGTGTGTGTGTGTGTGTGTGTGTGTGTGTGTGTGTGTGTGTGTGTGTGTGTGTGTGTGTGTGTGTGTGTGTGTGTGTGTGNGTGTGTGTGTGTGTGTGTGTGTGTGTGTGTGTGTGTGTGTGTGTGTGTG